CTCCGGCCCCCCCAGCGCCACGAACTCCATGGGGCACCCCAAAACCGGCCCGGGGGCCTGCGGAGAGCGGGCTCAGCACCGCACCCCAAACACCCCAAAACCCAGTCGGCACCCCAAAAACAACAAACACCCCAAACAGGCACCCCAAAAACACCAAACACCCCAAAACCCCAATCGGCACCCCAAAAACACCAAACACCCCAAAACCCAGTCGGCACCCCAAAAACAACAAACACCCGAGTCGGCACCCCAAAAACACCAAACACCCCAAAAACCCCAATCGGCACCCCAAAAACACCAAACACCCGAATCGGCACCCCAAAAACACCAAACACCCCAAACAGGCACCCCAAAAACACCAAACACCCCAAAAACCCGAGTCGGCACCCCAAACACCCCAAAACCCCAATCGACACCCCAAACACCCCAAAAATGCGAGTCGGCACCCCAAAAACACCAAACACCCCAAAAACCCCAATCGGCACCCCAAAAACACCAAAAACCTCAATCGGCACCCCAAAAACATCAAAAACCCAAATCGGCACCCCAAACACCCCAAAACCCCAATCGGCACCCCAAAAACACCAAACACCCCAAACAGGCACCCCAAACACCCCAAAAACCCCAATCGGCACCCCAAAACACCAAAAAACCCGAATCGGCACCCCAAAAACACCAAACAGGCACCCCAAAAACACCAAAAACACCAAATCGGCACCCCAAAAACCCCCAAAAATCCAAACACCCCAAATCAGCACCCCAAAAACACAAAACCCCAAATCGGCACCCCAAAAACTCTAAAAACACTAAACACCCCAAATCAGCACCCCCAAAACCCTAAAAACAACAAATCGACACCCCAAAAACCCCAAAAATCCTGTGAGACCCCAAATCAGCACCCCAAAAACCCAAACACCCCAAACCGGCACCCCAAAAACCCCCAAATCGGCACCCCAAAAACCCCAAACCCCCCTGAGGGACCCCAAATCAGCACCCCAAAAACCCCAAACCCCCCTGAGGGACCCCAAATCAGCACCCCAAAAACCCCAAAGCCCCTCAGGGCCCCCCCAAATCTCCCCCTGGCCCCCCGGGGCCCCCCCAAACCCTCGGGGTGCCAAAATCGGGGTTGGGGGTCCCCGACCCCCGCGGGTCGGAGCCGCCCCCCAAAATTCTCCCCGGGGCTCCTGGGGACCCCCAAAACCCGCTCCCACTTTTGGGGGTCCCGCACCCCGGGCTGCGCCCCCAAAGCTGCAGCTGAATGTCTGGAACCCCAAACTGGGCACCCCCGAACCCCAAAAACCCGAACCCCAAAATCTCCAAACCCCTGGGGACCCCCGAACCCCAAAATCCCCAACCCGGGGACCCCCGAACCCCAAAATCTCCAAACCCCTGGGGACCCCCGAACCCCAAAAACCCCAAACTGGGGGTTCCAAAACCCAAAATCCCCAACCCGGGGACCCCCGAACCCCAAAATCTCCAAACCCCTGGGGACCCCCGAACCCCCAAACCCCAAACTGGGGGTTCCAAAACCCAAAATCCCCAACCCGGGGACCCCCGAACCCCAAAATCCCCAACCTGGGACCCCCAAACCCTGGGGACCCCCAACCCCAAAACCCCTAAACTGGGGGTCCCCTAATCCCTGAGGACCCCAAAACTCTGACATCCCCAAACTGGGGACCCCCAACCCCCAAACCCCAAACTGGGGGTCCCAAAACCCAAAATCCCCAACCCGGGGACCCCCAAACCCTGGGGACCCCCGAACCCCAAAATCCCCAACCCGGGGACCTCCTAACTCCAAAATCCCCAAAGTGGGGATCCCCCAAACCCCAAACTGGGGACTGGAAACCCCAAAATCCCCACGCCGGGGACCCCCAAATCCCTGAGGACCCCAAAACTCTGGAATCCCAAAGTGGGGATCCCCCGAACCCCAAACTCGGGGTCCCAAACACCAAAATCCACAACATGGGGACCCCCGAACCCCAAATCCCCAAACTGGGGATCCCAAACCCCAAAATCCCCAATCCGGGGACCCCCGAACCCCAAAAACCCCAAAATGGGGGTCCCCCAAACCCCAAAATTCCCATCCGGGTACCCCCAAACCCCAAAATCCCCAAACTGGGGACCCCAAAATTCTGAAACCCCCAAACTGGGTGACCCCAAAATCCCCATTTCGGGGACCCCTGGGTACATCTGGACCCCAAAACCCCAAACCGGGGATCTCCTGAACCCCAAAATCCCCAAAGTGGGGATCCCCCGAACCCCAAACTCGGGGTCCCAAAACCCAAAATCCGCAATACGGGGGTCCCCCAAACTCTGGGTACCCCCGAACCCCAAAATCTCCAAATTCTGGGGACCCCCCAAACCCCAAAATTCCCAACCTGGGGACCCCCAAACCACAAACTGGGGACCCCCCAAATCCCCAAACTGGGGACCCCAAACTCTGGGGACCCCCGAACCCCAAAATCCCCAACCCGGGGACCCCAAAACTCTGAAATCTCCAAACTGGGGATCCCCCGAACCCCAAAAACCCCCAAAATGGGGGTTCCAAACCCCAAAAATTCCCATTTCGGGGACCCTAGGTACCCCTGAACCCCAAAACCCCCAAACCGGGGATCTCCCGAACCCCAAAAACCCCAAATTGGGGGTCCCAAACCCCAAAATCCCCAACCCGGGGACCCCCAAACCCCTGGGGACCCCAAAACCCCCAAACTGGGGACCCCCCGAACCCCCAAATCCGCAAACTGGGGACCCCCAAACCTCAAAATCCCCAAACTGGGCACCCCCAAACCGGGGGTACCCCAAAAACCCAAAACCCCCAAACTGGGGGTCCCGAACCCCAAAATCCCCAGCCCGGAGACCCCAAATCCCAAAATCCCCAAACTGGGGACCCCCGAACCCCAAAACCCCCAAATCGGGGGTCCACGAATCCCTGGGGACCCCAAAACCCCAAAACCCACAAACTGGGGACCCCCGAACCCCAAACTGGGGGTCCCAAACCCCGAAACCGGGGATCTCCCAAACCCCAAAACCCCCAAACTGGGGATCCCCAAACCCCAAAATTCCCAACCCGGGGACCCCGAACCCCAAAACCCCCAAACCGGGGATCTCCCAAACCCCAAAATTCCCAAACTGGGGGTCCCGAATCCCAAAAACCCCAAACTGGGGACCCCAAACCCCGAAATCTCCAGCCCGGGGACCCCAAACCCCTGGGGACCCCAAAACTCTGACATCCCCAAACTGGGGGCTCCCCGAACCCCAAATTAGAGGTCCCAAACCCCAAAATCCCCAAACTGGGGACCCCAAACCCCAAAATCCCCAGGCTGGGCCCCCCAAACTCCTGGGGACCCGAAACCCCAAAATCCCCGAACCCCTGGGGACCCCAAAATCGCAAAACCCCCAACCTGGGGGTCCCAAACCCCAAATTCCCCATCCCGGGGACCCCAAACCCCCC